TTTCAAAAATAACCCATTTAAATCATGTTATTACAAAAAGGTTTTCAATACATTTATTATCAGAGTATTCCCAGGTACATATCATAAAACATAAACACAAGGAGCGGTACGATCACGCCTTTGCCTTGCCACGGTCTCCTGAAGAACATGAAAAACATTAAACCACAACTGTAAGCCCGAAAGCTTAGTGAGATACCCCCAAAATACCAACCACATATACCACACACATAACATGCTATATCATATCGAATCACAGAACAACCATGCATATCGGGTCTACTGTGTGACTGGTCCGCCACACCGGCCAACAATCCACCTGGTCCACCCTCCGCGTCTAGTCATATACATCGAGTCTGCAGGGTGGTTGGTCCGCCCGCACCGGGCCTTCAATCCACCTGGTCCACTCTCTGAGTCTACAGTATGACTGATGAGCCCGCATCGGCCTTCAGTCGGCCTGGTCCACTCTCCGAGCCTCGGCACGTCTGGTCCGTCCTCGTGGGGCCTACAGCCTATCCGGACCGCTCGCTGGGCCTTCGGAATAACCGGTCCGCCCTGGGTATGTTGGCCTATAGCACAAAGCAGGTCCCGGCTCAACCCAACCCCAGTCGAACAACCATGTGCACATAAACATACAATCATATAACAATTCATATTCAATCAAACCGATCTAGCAAATCACGTAACATAACATACTTTAAGCAGGATACCGACCACTAGCATAGCATCATCCTATATACCAGGATACCGACCTTAACCAAGTTTCTAACGAATATCATCCTAACTACCAGGATGCAAACATAGTAAAACAACAACATAACAACAATACCCGGATTACAATCTGATAAAGGGTCGGCCTTGGTGCCTTAGACCCTATTGATATAGTGAGGATAACTCACCTTGTAATTGCTGACTGGAAAGCTAAGATCGAGATGCTCTGACCACTGACACGATCTCCACCATTGGCTAGCACCAACACTGAACTCAAACAAAAGCCAACAATTACCAAAATGCCCTTAGAAGTCAACTGGTCAACTCTTGGTCAAAGTCAAAGTCAAAGTCAACCTTCTGGTTGACTCTACTTGCCGAGTCAGCCCGCTGACTCGCCGAGTCCCCCAATACTGAAAAGGACCCCCTTCCAACTCACTGAGTCATCCCTTGACTCACCGATTCTTAGCTTAACCAGGAAAGGCTAAGACCTCAAGAACAGACTCGCCGAGTCCAAGAACAGACTCGCCGAGTCCAAAGCTATCTTCAACCAACTCTCCGAGTTGTTCTTCAAACTCGTCGAGTCCTTACCCGCCTTCAAGCAACTCGCCGAGTAGACCCTTGTGACTCGCCGAGTACCACTTGTTCATAACCCATACAGAAGCCTTCAGGCCATGCAATTGATCCAAAACGTAGATCTACCCTTCTACAACCCTTCCATCACGTAAAGTGGCAAACTTTACGTGAATCCAAAGAGATCTAGGCATTTTACACTCTAGGGCTAGGGTTTGGGACAAGATGGCTTCACCAATCACTTAATAACAGGGACTTTAATGCATTCTAGACCTTCTCCATTGATCTGAGGTAGCAACCTCAGATCTAACCTTCAAACTCTAAATACCACAAGCCAAACTTTCCATACAACCCAAAAATGATGAATCTACATGAATAGAAGCCCAAAAATGAGATCTTCCTCCAACTTTCTTCTCCAAGGCTCAAATGCACTCAAATCCTTCACAATCACGTTTCTAGGGTTTTCTAGACTTCAAGGGAAGGTAACGAGGCTGGGGAGAGGGTATAATGTCCTTTATACAAGGCTCATTCCCCGAAATTAGGGCTTTCTTCGCACAACGCCTACTCGCCAAGTCCAGCTTTGGACTCGCCGAGTTGGCCACTTAACACGCGACCTGAGTCGCGACCCTACTCGCCGAGTCCACCCATGGACTCGCCGAGTTGCCCTTCAATTTTACACTTTGAGCCCTGAACTTGCACTCCTGGGCTCGGGATGTTACAATTTGGTTGATATTAGTGAAGGCACTATTCAAATTGCGAGTATGTGGGTAGGGAAGAATCCTAAAGAAAGTTTAGGACGTGTAGTATTATGCTTATGGATAGACGTAAGCATGCATTCAGAAGTTTAGAGGAGTGATGTAAAGTGACTTGGGGATCTTGGAACAGTCCTTGAAGCAGGTATGGATAGGTGTGGAAGGTAGTATTGGACCCGTACTACTGAAAGCACATGATCCATACTTGGGTCAAAGAAGTGTTACATGAATACCAAGGAACTGTAGGTGGGGATGCATAGTATGGGTTAACAATGTGCATTGATTTTGATATGTTCCTGTGATCATTCAGATTTAGTAAGATGACCATTCATGATAGAGGATCAGGATCTGGTACGGGTTGTGGTGGCCTAGGAGACTTAGGTCTAAGTGAGAAGGATGTCTGCGACATCATCGATGCACAGGTTTCGATGTTCATGATGGAGGATTTGTCCGGTGTGATCAGCTCGGTTAGAGTTGAGTTGATTTTAGTGATGGACGAGCGCTTTAGGGCTCTGCAGGCTGAGTTGGAGACCAGTCGGCCATGGGATCGTGAGGTTGCCTTTAAGGAGTTTGATATTTGTGGGGCTTTGTGGTTCATGACGAAGAGGGAGCCTATCATCTGTGTTCATTGGATCACCAATATGGAGAGTTCCTTCATCGCCAACTTTTGTCCGGTAGAGGCTAAGGTTAGATTTGCAGTGTGTCTACTGCATGATGGAACTAGGGATTGGTGACACAAGGTTGTTCAGGGCCTCGAACTAGGTGCGGTCGAGTCTATGACCTGGGATGGTTTTGTTACCAGGCTCTAAAAGGAGTTTGTGTCGGCGATTGAAGTTCAGCAGTTGGCTCGAGAGTATTTGGCACTTGAGCAGACTATAAAGACGACGACTGAGATTATCGCCAAATTCAGAGAGAGCGTTGTTTTGCCCATAATATACAACAATAGATGAGACGTGGATGAATCACTATCATGATATGTTGAGTTCAGAGATCCATGAGTCCATAAGAATTTCCAGTTGTGAGACCCTTTACAATTTAGTGGAGGCAGTTAGGGACAGAGAGTTGGAGTTGGATACCCAACGATGGAAACAAGAGCATGATCAGGTTTAAACATAAAAAATTAGTAGTTAGGAAGACCAGAGTAATTGATGTTCGTCCAGTATGAATCTTGTGGTAGGTGTGGTTTCGCACATAGGGGTGGTTGTCATACCCCTATTTATGGGTGTCTCAAGTGCGGTCAGGAGGGTCACTACAGTCAAGACTGTAGTCAGAGGGAGTCAAGGGTATGTTTCATTTGTAGTCAGCCAGGACATGTTAAGGTAGAGCGTCCACATAGAGTAAATGGGATGGTATTGGATCCATCACCTTTAGCTTGGCAGTTATCAGATGGACGAGATGGGACAACTAGAGTTCTGAGGGTCGGGCTTTGAGTTGTCAGGTTCTCCAGTTTAGTCGAGTGCAACATTCATTGTCGTCAACAATATTTTTCCATTTATGTTTTCGTTGTTTCATTTGTAACCCTTGATCCATTTGTGTTTTCGCCTTTGGTTCAACATTGAATGATAGTTTGTGATTTGTGGCATTTCTAATCACTGATACAAGGTTTTGGATTTCTTTTAGCCTCCTCAAAGCTAGTTGTGGTTGTTAAGGATGAAGTAGTGAAGTTATATGGATTGGCCCAAAACTTTAATGGGTCATGAAGTCATAGGAGTTTAGTTATTTTCAAGTAGGGGATAATTGTTTATTTTGGATACAAGATTCCAGTGTTGTAGGTCATCTTGAAGCTTTATATCTGAGGGTGAAAGATAGCAGGTTTAGATTGTTGTCAATGAGGAAGCTCATGAAAATAATTTTGTCTAACAACCAATTGTGACTCAGGAAGAAGATGTCGAAGATTTAGGGTTATCTCATCCGGAAAAGTAGAAGCATCGGTGATGGCGCATGAGAGAGTTAGTGATTAGGCTTAGGTCGATGGTTGTGTTGAGGACTTCTCTGCATGTTCTTGTTTGATGAAAGCCTTGAGGTTAAAGACAAGACCCAAACACCTAATGGGGTTCAATATACAAGGGTCCATTTCGTGTCAGTTTATGCTAGATTACCTTAGTAGTTCTTGTGTAAAAGACCATGGTTGGATCATGGCAGGAAAGATTGCAGCTAGGATATGGCAACGAAAGTGATTGTAAAACTATGGCTGGATCACAACATTCACATGGGTTGAAATAAACCGTTGGCTGAAATACGCCGAAAGTGATTGTAATACTATGGCTGGATCATAGCATTCACATGAGTTGAAATAGACACTCTACTGAAATAGGCCGGAAGTGATTATAAGACTATGGTTGGATCATAACATTCACACGGCTTGAAATAGCTCCTTATTTTTTTTTCCAGTACAAATAGACATAGTTAATGCTTGTGTTGCGGTCCATAATTTTATAAGGAAATACAATATTCAAGATGACTTATTAATGAACTTTGAACAGAACACTATGGTTATTCCTGACGTGCAAGGTGGAAGAAGTGAGGACCAAAACATATAAGACATAAAATGATGTTCCGAAGCCGTTGACTATATGACTACTTGCATGACCAGATTGTTAATCAATTACTTTTAAATGGTTAATGTTAAATTTGTATGCAAATTATTATGTACTTTTTGATTTTGTATGAAAATTTATATTTAGATTTTGTATGATAATTTGTATTTGATTTTAAATGATGTATGTTTAATTTGGATTTTATATAACAATTTGTATTTTTATAATTATTTTATCCAACACAAGAAACAATATAAAACTAATGTGGTTGTTTTTTATCTTTCAACACAATAGAAATAATCAAATAACATATCAGATGTGGATTCATTCATAATTTATAATTCAATCAGTTTCTAACAGAATCAACAACTATCAAACGCCCTTTTAGTCTATAAGGTTTCAAAATATTTAAAATTAAAAAAAAAATTAAGAGAGAATTTTTAACTTGGTCAATATCCCTCTGTTCTATATAAAAAAAGGAAGGGACCAAAAGTTACATATAAGAATAAGAACAAATTAACCATAAATAACATATAGACAATGAAACGTCATCCACATTAAAGCATGAAACACCACCCACCTCCAGAAACTCCATTGATATGCATGAAGCTATATACACACACAATCTACGTTTTCAATCTCTCAAAAACCCACAGTCGACAAAGAATCTGCAACCGTTAACTATTGAAGAAGATGAAAATACATACAAGACCCATATCCAGTCCTGGAACAACAGACGATTTCCCACCGCCAATGATGATGTTTCCAAGAAGCAAAAGCAAGAGAGGAAGCAGGTCACGGGCTAACCCTATGTTTTTTCGCAAAATCAACACTACTAACGATCCTACCCAGGAACCCTCTTCCCCTAAGGTCACGTGCATCGGCCAAGTCCGAGTCAGTCGCTCAAACAACAAGCAACCAACCACAACCACCGCCTTCCGCAGTTGTCGATGGCTTCAGAAACTCAAATCCGGGTGGTTCCAACGCTTGCGGAGAACAAACTTATCGTTTTTTCGATGTGACTGTTGCAGAAAATCAGAGAACTTACCGGATTCAAAGCGGATTGAAGTGAATCAGGCGACTGAGTACCGGAAACGCGAAATTGAAGATGTAATCGGACCTGATAATGTAATTTTGATTCCAGAATCGCCGCCGAGAAATGCGTTTTTGTTGACGAGATCCAGCTCTGCTCCATACAGATCTTCATCTTTGGCATACAAATTTTGGGAATCAACAATCGAGAAAACAAGGGTGGATACCGAAGATGATGAAACAGGGGAGAAAGTGAACGAAGGTGAATGTATTAATGGAAACAGTGAAGATGAAAGTTTCTTTAATGGAGATGAAGAATTTAAAGCGGAGCCACTGAATCTGAGCAGGTGTAAATCTGAACCAGCCCGAATTGGGGATAAATTGTTTACGAGTTGGGGATAAATTGTTCATAATTTCACAGGGTTTTTTTTTCGACTTTTTTTTCCCCTTAAAATGTTAATATTAAACGACGCAGTTTCGCACAGCTTTTGCCTTTTGTCCTACGCAACAATTACAAGTGTTGGTTATGATGGTTCTTATTAATTACTTTTGTAAAAATGTTTACCGATAAAGTTTGATGGATATTATATTTCTGCAGAAGCAAAATGAAACTCAAATGGTGGTTGTATATATGTGTGAAGACCATATAATATGTGTGAGGACCATATAATGCGAGTGTGAATGGGGGTTTATAGCATAGGGTTTTTAGGGAAGAGGACGAAATTTCCGACTGTCGCAACTCGCAACGATCGATTTAGATCGTTTTCGGACATTCACAACCCCTTCTTGGAATCTGTGCACAACCTTATTCGTCTTTCCCTTTTATTATTATTATTATTATTATTATTATTATTATTATTGTTGTTGTTGTTGTTGTTGTTGTCGATATCGTTGTGTGTTTTTACAAATTTAGCCCACCCACATCAATTCCTCATAGAGTTTTCTACTTCCTTAGAGCTGAATGACTTGTTGAGGAAGTCATTGTCATTTTTCGAAAACTTCAAATTTTTGGATATTTTCTTCAAACACCCCCTACTTTTTGGTCAGTTTACAAATTTTCCATTATTATTATTATTATTATTAATTCTTCGGAAAATTAAATTCATTTTATGTATGGTTGTGATTGTCGTGAAAGTTTAATATAATTAAATACCTTACATATATAAATTATGCATTCAATTCTAGAATTTTTAATTTAAAGAAAATGAGAAAAAAAAAAACAAAAAATAACATGTGGAAAATAAGAAATCTTCCCCTAATAATTTTAATCTTCCCTAATAAATAATTTTTTTTTGTCACATGGCATGCTCTCTTTCAATTTGATATATGTCAATTTGTGGTAATTTTGAATTAATTTTTTTCCACATATCATATTATGGGTTTTCCTATTTTATTAAATTCCATATAATATTTTATTATAATAATTGCACTAAATATAATAATAAATGGGTATCAATTTCATTAATAAACTTACCTTCTAATTTCAAAAAATTTAAATTAAAGTCTATTGTTTTTTTTTTGTTTCTTTATTTGAATTATTTGTTTAAATTTAAAAGATAAAAACATTTCAATTTTAACAATTCATTATTTTTCTTATTTTTTTATAAATTCAAAGTTCTCAATTATTTAAACCTACATATTTAATCTTTTTTAATTAACTCATATAATATATGAGTCTCACAACTAATCCATAGTATCTGAAAATTACATGTGACACATGTATGGAGAACATGACATGTGACAAAAATCATTTTCATTTACTATGTTAAATATATATATATATATATATATATATATATATATATATATATATATATTACAAAAATATAGGTATATAATCTATAATCTATGCGATCCAATATTATACAAGTATCTTACTACTAAACATATAATAAAACGGGATAATGTCATAAAAATCCTTAAGTTTGAAAGAAAATGTCGGTTCTACACTTCGACAAATTTCTGGTTCTTTTATACCGCAAACTTGTCAATTTTTTTGTCGGTTTTACCCTTTTTACCAGTAATAGCAGGTTTCCAGGTTACCATGAATTATTTTGTGCTAAAAAACCCTTAAGTTTACAAATATTTTGTAAAAAAACTCTTAAGATTATAAACATATAAAATATAAATATATATTCAAAAATTTATAAAACTAAATAGTTTTTTAAAAATTAAATGTCAAAAATTATATCAAACTAATATAAGTTTTAATGTTTTATTGAACTTATATTATGAAACCAAACTAAAACATATTTTTAGTTTTACGTACAGTAAATTTTATATTAATTCGATATAAAAATTTTATATTTAAATTTTAAAAGAATTACCTACTGTGATCAAATTTTGAATATATTTCTTATTTAATATTCAAACTTTTCGAAACAAAATTAAAGAACGTGTGTTAATTAATAACTAATTATGCTAAAATAGTTAAACATATGAATAATATGACATTAATTACATTCAATTAATTTTTTTAAAAGGAAAAAAACATTTTATATATTTAAAAGGTTTTTATTTCAGAAATAATAAACTATTATATTTTTTATAAAAAGAAATATATTTATATAACAAATTAGACAAATATATTTCTATTTTATATGTTGATTTTTTATGTTTAAAATGTTTATTATATTTTATAAAAAAATATGATAATATTATTATTTTTTTAAACATATAAAAATTACGATACATTATTATTTTTTGAAATACAATTCTTTTAAACATATAAAATATTTTTATTTTCCTTTTAAAAAAATTAATTCAATGTAATTAATGTTATATTATTCATATGTTTAACTATTTTAGCATAATTAGTTATTAATTAACAGATGTTTTTTAATTTTGCTTTGAAAAGTTTAAATATTAAATAAGAAACATATTCAAATTTTGATTAAACTATGTATTTTTTTTTCAAATTTAAATATATAAATTTTATATCAGTATAAAATTTACCTTACGTAAAACTAAAAATATGTTTTAGTTTTGTTTCATAATATAAATTCAATAAAATTTATATTAGTTTGATATAATTTTTGACATTTAATTTTTAAAAAACTATTTAGTTTTATCAAATTTTGAATATATATTTATATTTTATATGTTTATAATCTTAAGGGTTTTTTTGCAAAATATTTGTAAACTTAAGGTTTTTTCACAAAAAAGAAATTCATGATAACTTGGAAACCGGTAAAAAGGGCAAAACTGACAAAAAAAAAAAATGACAAGTTTGTGGTATAAACGGACCAAAAATCTACGGAAAGTTAAAACTGACATTTTCTGCCAAACTTAAGGTTTTTTATAATATTATCCCTAATAAAACTTAACAACTACCATATTTGAATAGAAGTTATATAATAATTCTTTAGATAATAAATAAATAAATAAGAAAACAAAAATATGGCATACAAAAACAATTAGAAGCGAATTAGTTTGTCTAAAAACATGTCTCTCTAATATATTATAAGAATGAAATGAATGGTAACATGTTTAACAGGTCGCCACATCGGATTTATTTATGTCATGGAAGCTAAGAAGAGTCTTAACATCCAAATTGTAAAAAGGAAGGGAGTGGGAATGGGTTAGTTTAATAGGTTTTAATTTAAGGGAAAAAAAAAAAAAAAAAGGATCGGCCAATGAAAGCCAACCCTCTCTTCTCTCTCATCTCGTTGTGTCTATGGTGAGTTTCATTCCTAGCGCTCTAACGACTTTGAAGGGGATGGTGAATAGCGACTTTAGCATTCCTTTGGCGAGTGATATAGCATATCCACTCCTTTTAGCCTAATGTTTTTTTTTTTTTTTTTTTGAATTTATATCGAAATACTTTATGTATGCCCAGATTAATTTTAAACTGAAGTCTGAAGGTGTCGCCCGTCTTCTGACTTTTAGTTCTGATATATGTTGTTAACTTGTTATTACACTATCTAATGGGTCATAGACATAATAAAGGCCCAATCCACAATTGGTGGCCCATGGCCGAAATTTTTAAAAATGAATTATTTTCTTTGACAAACCAGAAAAAAACCAATAAATTACAAATCTTGTTGATGCCTACTTGTAATTTATTTAAATTATCATTCGCTCAAAAGTTAAATTTCAAACAATCTCAGTCAAAATATTTTGATTGCACAATCAAACCAAAGAAACATCACGTGCATGAGATGTGATAAACAAAATGAAAAAATTATCGTTATTTCCTTCATGCAGTTTTATGTTTATTTTCACCGGATTTAAAAAAGGTCGAGAGTCGAGACCACATGCAAAAACTCGATGGATTTATGGGTTTATATAGTTATCTCATTAAAATAACGATATATTACAATGTTGACTTGTTAATTTTGAGATGCGTCATCTTCTTTTCTTGCAGCAACTATAGACCATATACACAGATATAGTTATTGATTTTAATCATCATGTATATTTATGAGTTGTACATTTAATGACCCTGATTAGGTGTTCTAATAAATTTCAATATACGGGTCCCAATCCATGAATATAGAGATTGCATGTCGGTCCAACTGTCATTTGAATGTAAATACAACATGGTCATCACATTATTTGCAACATTGACAATGAAAGGGCAAAACACATGATTTCATTTCGAATTTTGGATTATGAACAATAAAGTAACTCTAGTGGAGATGTTAGACTTTATCACTTCGTTCACGAATACATACCGAATTGTCAAATTTGTATCTATAACATTGACATGTTATTCATTAAATATTATGGTAATTAGATAATACAAGGTTTAACATACAACAAAGACATATATATAATTTTATTGGGAGGACATGTTCGAACGTTCAAATTATCTCTTAAATAAGTGAAAAGAGAAGTAGGTAGCCACTTCGTAAAACTATTAGTTTACTGAGTAGAGGAGGGAACATGAAGTGCACGTATGTGATCAAAAGCAACATTGTCACGAATTAAATTAATGTGTATCTCAATATGTTTGGTACATTGGTGCTAAATGAAATGAATGTCTATCTCAATATGCTTGTTTGTGAATGTCTTTTTGTATGTTTGTATTTGTAACGTTCCAAACATTATAAGGTAAATATTTCATTTTTAATTCAACCAGAAACACCAATTATCCTTTTCAATCGTTCATAAGTATATCAGAACAAAAACATTTATTAGAGTATAATCCCAAAATCATAAAGTTGTGGAAACATGGGTGGATGCGCTGCGATCAAGTTGGACCCTTCCCTTTCGAACCGGAAGTATCTGAAACCATAGATATAAACCGTAAACACAAAGTTTAGTGAGTTCCCCAAAATATCACATACCATACATATCATACATAAATCTGGCCGTGTCCGACATCCATCAAGCCCCCGTCCTGCATCAGGCCTTGCCCGGTACAGATATGTCAGTAACATGCAATGGGCCTCGCCCAACACACTCATCAAGCCCCGCCCGATATACATACAAACACATATAACACATGCAAGAGTCACACAAATAGATAACATACAAATAACAATAGTCCATAGGTTGGCATTGGTGCCTTCGACCCGCCAAACACTGGGGGAAAACTCACCTCAAACCAAGATAACCAAAATGCACGCGTTGTTGCTACCGAATTCCTCACACTAAACACAACCAAATTATCCTTAATCAATAACTAAGCTAATTTCTCAAAATCCAAGGTCCAATTCATTTTCTATCAAT